TGTTTCCCACTTTCTTTTTCAGCATTTTGCTGACATTACAGATGATCAATTCGATTTCCATACTTACTGTTTACGTAAAGTGACTCTCAGAGCATATCTAAGGTCGGTTCCTTTAACTGCAGCAGAGATGGCAGAAATAAATTGTACTAAAGCTTTTTGCGTCCGTGATGACAATTAGCATGTTGCGGTTTGAGGATCAACTGAGATCTCATCCTTATTATTTCCGTGCTGCACAGAACGCAATAAAGGTAAGTTTGATCTATGTTACCACAGCTTTTTGCTGCACACAATCGTTTAACAAGACATACCTGGGGGGAAAAGATATACCTCAATTTGCACGACAATCCTCATAAAGTCACCACAAAGGAAAATAATCCTGATTTCGGTATGGACACAACAGTCACTTGTTCATATAATCCTGTTGACTATTTAAACGAATCTTGCGTATGTGTTTTTTGCAGCCAATATGACTGAAGGTGAAATACGGAAAGCGATGAGTAAGGCGAAGAAATTGAAGGCACGGCGAGAAGCTGAAGCAAAAAAAGGTTCAGCTTGCTCCGGTTAATTGTTTCAGTATCATACGAATCACAAAGTACCCTATTAACGATTTATTTAACAGCACAAGTCAAAGAAGAGCAAAATAAGAAGAAAGTGGAGAAGCCTCAGGACGACGATCCAGACGGCGAAAAGCTTTTGAAGGTTATTATTAATTTTGAAAATGTTCTTTTCTCAACAATGTTACGAATTGTAGGCTTATAATGGACTTTCATAGACCGACAATCCTTTAAAAGAGGCACTCAAGTTTTTACAGCCACTACAAGAACTAGCGTCAAAAAGAATAGAAACACAATTATTAGGATTCGAGATCTATTTAAGAAAGAGTATGTTGACCAGTATTGAATTTTCCGCTGCTTGATATATATAATTTAACGAATAAGTTTGTTTCTATTATTTGTAGGAAAATATCTGCTTGCACTGAGGTCTCTTTTGAAAGCTCACAGTATCGACAAGAACGACCCCGAGCTTCACAAGAACATAATACGATTTCACAAAGCAGGTACAAGTTTATACCGCGATATTTTATCTCTTATCTTGCAAACGGCATTTATCATTTCGTATATTTAACCCTCCTTTCCTTTCTAGTTTCTACTTCTGAAATTCATCCAACCGTAAAAAAAGTAATTTCAGCTGAATTTCAAAAGATTCTTCCCGAAAACAAAGATCTCGAAACATTTACGATGGAATTGCTGGAATCGAACAAAAATTCCGTTCCACATTTACTATCTGCTGCTGAATCGTTGTTCTTGATAGACCCCGGTAATAAAGCAAAAGCAGAAGAAATTATTCTTAGGATCGAAGATCCTGCATATGAGAATGGAAGGTCGCTCAAGGTAAGTATTATGAAATCAGATTAACCTGCGATACAACGTATGTCGTGTTCTGATGTGCGTGTACTTTGTTGCAGAACTGTATTGCAAGCCACGAAATACTTAAGACAGTTCTTAACTCAACCAAGGCTGATCAATTCAACGAAAAATGTAGTAAATGGTTTGAGCTTTCTACGTATTTTAAAACAAATTGAAACTTTTGTTGAATAAATTAGACTCGCTTATTTTTAAGTCTGGTGTGGCAAACGCAGGGCGTACTTGCCCATTATGTGTTTAAATAAAAATGCAAGCGCAAATGAAATGGATAAATATAAAAAATATTTGAACGTTGATAATTGAGAAGTAATAATAAAAAATCCTACAGGTCAGAGAAACCTTAATTGAACGACTGAGCATTCTGTCCATCAACTATCTTCTTGAGAATAACGCTCGTCGCTTCGTTCACTGTCGGCTTTAACCAATCTGCTATATGGGTGCATTCACGGTGTAATGATATCATCTCTCGTACATTCGTCAATCGGGAGTATTCTATCCATTGTATATAGGCATCATGTCTATTCTTTGTATTATTCCATGATTCCATGATAAATGAATCCAAAGACTTGTTGCCGGTTGTCAATCACGAGATCTTGGCGTTTACAGCAACGGAATGCAGTTATCTCGGATGCTGATTGACTTGTACATTCCAGACATAAGCCATCCACGTCTGGATCTTTATTAGATAATACTTTTGTTTACGTGCGTTATACGTAAACCCAATTGTAATCCAAAGATTTTTTGTAAGAATATCGGACATAGCTAGCGGAAATGATGCATTAGATAAGGCCACGAACTATTCGAAACAATCAATAATAAGTTCGGCATAATTGAATAGTTACCTTGTCATAATATAAAATCATCTGTCTCATCCGTTATCTCAAGTGGAATCGATTTAACCGATGCAAAACCGGGTAGACCTCAATGAATATCGTATTTTTTGCAATACAGTCAAATGGAATCCATTTCAAATAGGGTTCATTTGCCATTTGCGATTTTTTAATAAACTCTGTTGTGGCTCGTCCAGTGCGAGAAAAGCCAATTGGAATGCGATCGATATCATCATCGTAATCTAAATCGCCTGTCGGGAGTACACTCACAAACGTTGGTGTACATTTTTCATCAATAAGAGCATTGTCTTCGTTTTCCTAACTGAACCATCGTCCTGTGTACGTTTGTGAATAGCATGATGAACGTTGTCAACTTGACTTGGCTTATTTGATTAATTTCTGCGTAGGGAATTCATTCAAAGTCACTATCAGGAGTATGGCATGGTTTGATTATGAAATCCTTAACTATCCCTTAAACTGTATTACAGGCAAATTTGCCTGTAATTTGGATCCGCCAACAAAATCGCTTTATATCATCTGATG